CCAGGGCAGCCCTGCGGAGTGTACACGGCAGGCTGTGCCCGTGGGCTCCGCTGCCACGTGCCACCAGAGCAGCCTGGCCCACTGCGTGCCTTGCTGCGGGGACAGGGAACCTGCACACCTGCTGCTGAGGCCAATGAGCCCACAGGTACTGTCAGCGACGTGGTGTTAACCCACCTCTCTCTGAGCAGAAAGCATTGCTTCCACAGTTTACTATTTGTTATTATTTTTTAGCATCATGTCTGCTACGGTCACCTATTGGTTGTTAATCAGTGGTAGAGCATTGCAAAATTAATTTTGGGTGAATCAAAATTGTAGTTGCTATTGGTGGTAGAAGTGGAGATATTCCTGTTGGGGTGGTGGCAAGGGGGAACAGTTGCTAGATTCAGTGCTTAAGTTGCCTTCTTTGGTGGGTGTTGGATATTATTCTTCCTCTACTTTTATTCCTTTTTAAATTTCCCTCCTTGATCTTGCTCAACTTTTTTTTCTAGTACTGACTCTTGATTGGTTGTTTGTAGTTTTAATCTGACTACTTACTTAAGCATGTGCCAAAGCATTCCCGCTAGCGTCCCCACAGCTGCTAAGAGCTTCTGCTATCTCCCATGGGAGTGCTTGCATGCTCCGAGCAGGGCTGACAGGTGCCACATGCTCAAGTCCACACAGCTTCTCCCAGCCCCTGGGTATCAGACCCTCGTCAGGCTGGCAGGATCGATGGCTGCCCCAGTGAGCCAAGGCACAGCACACGTTAAAGGATGTTGCGGCACTGGGTCTGAAGCAATTCCCTTTCCCAACAGAAACCAAAATGCATTGTTCCAATTGCCAAATGCCTTACAAGTTTGAACTCAGTCTTTCCTCATTTAGCATAGTGCCTTCTGCCTACTGTAGTCAAGGAAGACCTTTCATTCCTAACAAACAGCCTGGTTTTAGCTTCCTCTTTGGTAGACAAGTGATCCTGGAAGGTGATAAATTAACCAACTTTTAGAGAACAGCGGATGAATATATTACTGATTGCCCATGTAAAGTGCTATTCTTGCAAGAGCTGCTGAAGCTGATCTTAGACACAACACTTTTTATGTTTTTTTTTTCTTCTTCTTCTTCTTCTTTTTTTCTTTGGAAGAGTAAAGGCAGAAGCTCACTAAACATTTCCATCTTCCTGTCATTCCTTTCCAGACTCTGTTGAGCACAAGGATATGACTTTAGAAAGCATGGAAATGACCCAGTTGAGCTACCAGTCGATGTTTCCCATTGGCCAGGACAAATCCATCCCCTGGAATGCCATCGCCGCATATGAAAACATGAAAGCAAAAAGGATATCTGAGCTCAAGAAATGGAGAGAGCAGGTGAGTTTTCTTGCAAGCCTTTCAAACAGTGTTTCAGTAGCTGCTATTGATTTGAAATACTAAATGCAAATGTGCATGAAACTCTCCCAGCAGCCCCGAGAGGTCAATATTCTGGGTAGCCAGCAAGCAGACTTCCTCTTTCGGAAGATGCCCAAGGAAAAGGCAAAATGGGAGCGGCTATAAAAGCAGTTGTGGCTGAGTTGCAAAGTTCTAGAAACTCCTTGCAGAGGCTGAATCTCACTCTGCAATTGATACCAGACTATAACATGGGCCCTTAAATTCCAGAAATGTGTCCTATGATCTTGGAAGTTTTTGGTGCTTTAATTAAAAAACACAAGGTGTTTATGCCTGGGCCAATGATTTGTGGCACGCAAAGGCATTGCTGAGTGTCTAGGATGTCAGCAGCCCATCACAAGCGAGAGCAGTGGTTTGCTCCTTACGAGAGAGCAGCACTAGCGATGACGCAGGTCATGATTCCACGTGGGGGCACTAGAGAACCAGAGTTAGCACCCTTGCCAGCATCCCACTTCAACTGCCTTGGGTCACACGCCGGCGTGACATGAGGCCCTGTTTTGTATGGCCGTGACAGTCACATTGCAAAAAGAATTAAGAAAAAAAGAAAAATAAAAGACTAGGAAGCTGGCCGACATTCAGAATTTGGTTTTGAGCTATCAGATAAAAGCCCTGTGAGCTCTAATTCATGTTTTTACAGCTTCTGCTTTTACGAACCAAGAGCAAGAGTAAACCCAGTGACTTCCAGGGGACTGACTGCTTGCCGGAGGGCCTGGCCTGGGGAGGCCTTGCACAAGCAGAGGGCAAAATCTGATTTCCTTTCAGAACCAGACATATTTGCAAAGTCCCTTCCGCTCACTCAAACATATCAGGCGCTGTTAGTGGATGGCAGTTCTGACTTCCAAAGCACTGAAAGGCATGTAGGGGACAGCATGCACATTGCCGGCCCTCCTTGACTCTTCGGTCATGCAGTTGTGGATGTCTGTGGGAGAGTTAAAGCCTTGAGCTGTTACAGTGCCGGCCGTGCCCCCCACACAAAAGATAACAAACATGCAGATGTTTGCTCTCACATCGCCTGGGTATGCTCTGCATCTATTCTCCATATGTCAACAGAGCTCAGGGCCATGACAACCCAGCAGACATGGGCAGCCTCACGTACGCCAGCCATCTGACATGCGCCTCCCCATAATAGGAGTGCTTGTACCCTCCAAGTCTTAATATGTTTACTCAGCACAGGTTAAATTTCCTTGTGTGGGAACCCGAGTACTTAAATCCTTGTGTTTCTGCAGATAGAAAAATAACCTCAAAGAATAAAAACAAAAGCCTGTGCTCCTACCGAAAAAAGTAGAAACTGCACACAGGGCAGCTCCGGTGCAAATTTCATGACTATTAGCCGTTTTCCAGCTTCCAGCTGGCTTCACAACTGGTAACATTTAGGTTCATTTTGTGATTGTCCTGTTGACACCCTGCGCATTGATTCCCTTACTTCAGGGACCATGCCAGAAGGAGCTCTACCGAGCTGTGCACAAGTTGGCCATGGCTCAACAGAGGAGCGGAGGAGAGATCTACAAATTCTACCTGCCCAACTGCAGCAAGAGCGGCTTCTACCACAGCAGGCAGGTACGTGCCTCCCCCTGCCAATGGCCCCACGCCGGCTGGCCTGTCGCTGTGCAGCACCTCCCCATCCTGCCTCTGCAGCTGCTGCAGGAGCAGGTTATGAGGACAGGGGTGCTTAGTGGTGGGAGCAGATGGCTTGTCCCTCTTCTCTTAAAAGTGAGACGCGCACCCTAGGCTTGCAGGAAGGGGGGCAGGAGGCTTTTCCATGAGCGGAACAGGTGCACACAGGGCCTCCTCTGAAAGATTTTTAACCCTGCATGTGCCCAGGCCATATCAAGAGCTTTGTTTCGCAAGTCACTGTTCATTTGTAATGTCCGCCCTGAAAATAAAATATCGGAAGCACTCAGCTCCTCAGGTAAAACACATTAGCAGCGGTAAAGCTCCATGGAGCAAGAGCAGACTTTAGAAAGCAGAGCAAAAATCCTCTTCTGTGCTACCTTACGCTATAACACTGCTGCCTCCAAAGGAGCCATTTTGAGTCACACCAAAGCTAATCTGCACAGTCAGTATCTTCTCCAAGCCTCAGCCCACATTCTCATACCACAGGCCGGGCACGTGGCTTTAGCTGCTCTGCAAAAGGTGCATATCACCGTGACTCCTTGGTGTGGGATGTGCCACCTGCAGTCAAATCGGGCATGTACAGAAGTCTCACCCCCAGAGGAGCCCTATTTCCCTCTGTGAAGCCAGGCCCCTAATTCACTGCCAGCCATATGACTCACACTGCCTGCCATATAACCTGCCTTCCCTCCGTTTCTCAGAGCAGACCATGTCGCTGTTTCACACTATTGTCCATCAAGGAGTGGGAAAACTCTTTTAAGTCTGAACTTGCTCTATAAGAGGGAGTTCAGCTTGGATCAAGGCTCTGTAGCCAAGCATGTTGGTTAGAGGTTTTTGTCAGAATGGAGCATCACACTCTAAAAAATAGTCTGCACGTGACAGTTCCCCAGTTTCTGATCCTAAATCTGTCGAAACACACTTATTTGTAGTATTTCACTTTTTATTTGCTGTTGGCTGTCTCTTATTCTGGGTTTGGTTTTCCCAATCGTTCTAGTGCGAAACTTCACTGGATGGAGAGTCTGCTGGGTGCTGGTGTGTCTACCCAGCAAATGGGAAGAGAATCCCTACATCTCCGGAGCCGAAAGGAGACGCTGAATGCCAACAGTACCTCAGTTTGCAGGAGTAAAACTGAACACAGTCATTCACACCATGCTTTCCGCAGGGCCTGATCGAGCTATCAGCTAGGAGCTGTTTCGAGGTGGGTAGATATGTGCACCTGAATTTTGCTATAGGAACAACCCCATTAAGTAGCTTTTCCACTTGACTGGGATTGTTCAGATGCTCGAGTGATAGTCAGACACGAGCAACTGCAAGACTAAGTCCTACAGTCTTATATATTATGTTCATATAATATTATAGATACCCCTGTATGTAAAGCTGTTGAATTATTTATTTCACAGTAAGTATATTTTTGTCTGCGTGTTGTTACTAATTTATATCCTCAAACACTTCATAACTTTATATGTAAATACTTAATATTATTGCTCTTGTATGTATACATCCTATATTGGAGGAATGTTGCTACCTAAAACTTCAAAAGACATAACTCTATTGGGAGAAATGGCTTGTACACTTGCATTTTTGTGCTATGTATTTATAGACGTCAAACTGTATGTGAAAAAAATATCTTTCAGTAGAGAACATGCTTAGGAACTTATTTAAAACCTGTTATGTTTATATATCATGTTGCTTTTGCACCTCCATTTCAATGTCAAACTGTTTCTTAAAAAGGAAAGTCTAAACCTGGATTATATACTGAATACCTAATAGGACAATATTTGTTTCTATTTTTCAAACATATGCATTAGCTATATGGTAAAACACAGCAGGATATTCTGTACAACCTTTAGCAGGTGTAAATTTTTTACACGTTGACGTCATGTTATTTAAGATGTGCTATTAAATAATTCGCTTTACACCGTCCCGTTCCCTTTCTTTCCACAAGTTATCCTAGGACTGGGTGAAGCCGCACTCAGATCCAGCTCTTTCTTTGGCAGCAGGAGCAGGTCTAACCTCAGCAGGACATTGTAGCAAGGAGTGGCAAAGGAGAGGAAAATAGGCTCCTTTAGATAACTGCCTCCTGAGCTCTGGTTTTCCTGATGATTTTTTTTCCTTTTTTTTTTTCTTTTCTTTTTTTTTAAGTTTCCCCCATCAAGACACACTTTCCCTCCTTCTGCCCTTTTCAGTCCCTGTTTTACTCTGGGCAAAGTAGCCTATAAGGGAAATTACTGAAAGCTTTCCTAGATAGGAACACTGGATGCCCAGTACGGCAGCGTGAACATGTCTGTAAGATAACATAGAACCTCGCAAGTGCTGTGAAGAAATGTTTCCTGCACAGAAAATCAGAGGCTATAAAAGGGAGGTAGGGGGCAACAAACGAGCTTTACTCTTTTCGCCAAACCCATAGAAGAGGCTCTTCTTGGCTTGGGAACCTGGAATTAGCCCATGTCCTGTCCCCCCTCCTGTGTTGCCCTTCACAGTAGTGGTTTCAGAGAAAGAAGGCAGTTGCTTGCCCTGACAGTTTCCAGTTGCCTTTACACCAGTTGCCTTTACACCTGGAAGATATGCGGTGGGACTTGGCAGGCTTAGCAGTGTAAGCTGGGAGCAGAGGATAACCTCATCTCTGAGCCTGGAAGGAGGGAAATGAGGTGTAAAATCTGCCTGCAGTTTTTTGGTACCAGCTTTGGGTTTCATGTGGGAGTGGGAAGTCTCTGGTAGAAGTTGTAGGGCTCAAGCCTGGAAACGAGTGCCTGGTGTGCTTCTGTTTTGTGGCACAGTGCTTTTCAACTGTGTTTGTGGCGCATACGTGAGGTTGAATCACGGTCAGACTTGAAAGGAAAGGAGGGAAAATCATACACCCACAGATGCTGAATCAGGTCAAATGAGCACAGCTAGCTTTAGCCTGCTCTAGATCTTGGGTGTTTCATTTTGCCAAGGTTTCTGTCTGCCATTTCAGACATGTTTTATAACCTCTGAGCCATAGGTTGGGTAACCCAGATAGCAATGGCAGAGGTGAAGGGAGGGTTGTGCATACACTTGGCTTCTTGCAGCTTAATCATGAGTCATGTTTTGCAGCTGAGAGCACATCTACACTGAAGAGTGTAGCTGGCAGGGCAGAGTTTTGCCTGTGGAGCCCCCTATCCACTGCACCTTCAGTGTCTCTGCTGCTTTAGCTGCTCAGGCTCCTTAAACCGCCCCTAAGCTAACACAGAGCAGCACATTTGTGCTTGAGCTGAGGTTTTTAATTGCTTAATTATGCCAGCTGTGATGTGTGATTTATTTTTTCCCTTTCTCCATTGCTGACAGTGTTTTGCATTTCAGCAGGCTGATGTGCGGATGTTGGAGTTCCTTGGAAATGTATCTTTGTGTGAGGTGTCTCTGAAGGCCTAAGGCAAATGCTGGCTGTATCTTCATCATCATCTTTCATGTTTTCTGCTGGCTGCTGCTCCTTTTTATTGCTGTTTTGGCAGTTGAGTTTGCACCATTTGGCTCTGGAAAGGGAACAGAAAGAGAAGAGCGGCAGTGTGTCACTGGTAGCTGGGCAAGAGCAACTGTGGAAATGCGTGGCAGGCTCTACGGGCTGAAGGTTGCATCTGGCACCCATGTGATAGAGCAATAATCAACTTCTCAGACTCAGTTGGTTAGGACTTTTTCACGAGGTGCAAGTTATGTGATATGCAGTGGGCATAGGAAACGCATCTTCACCTTGAATATTCTTGGTGTGGCATAAGCAGGCAAAAATAGGATCCACTCCGCAGTTGCAGGGACTGAAAGAAACGTGTACGCTACCTGACTCTTGTGACAAAGCCCCTTTGCCACCCGAATTTGGAAGGTCCCTTGCATGTAGATGTGGGAGAGAGCCCTTCTCAAGGGCATTTTTCTTCATCTTGACAGATATGCTGGAGGAAATCTCAACTGCTGCCTGGAGGAGTAACTTCTTTGCCTTTCTTTCCATCCCCACCCATGATTAGAGCAATGGGGTGAAATTAGCTCTGACAGAGAAAGGCTCTTAAGGAAGTCAGCGTAAGTGGAAAGCTAGGACACATACTAGAGCAGGACAAGCATTCTGCAAGGATAAACTGAGATTTGCAGCATTATCCTTTGCTTTTGCTAATACCTGGTCTCCAGTTTTTCTCAGTGGCAGCTTAGAGCCTGGGGGTCATTTGTACTTTTGAATAAAAGCACATTTTTACCATGGGATATTCTCTAGGGTCAGTGTCTATGTTTGTACATAGGCTGATTTTGCATAGCTGTAAAATCAGAAAGAAATGATACAAAATGCAGAAAGAATTTGAAAGCTAGAATTCCTCACACAGAACAACAAATTTGTGTTGTGCATCATTTTACAAGGCTATTTCCCTTTTAGCAGGAAAAAAAAAAGTTGTATAATGCAAATAATATGATGTGTTGGAACTGACAGACACAGAGATGCAACATGCTGACAGACCAAATGCTTTCTGGTTAGGAGCAGATACACAGTCATAACAAAACATTTATCTTTTAATGGTCTTAAATGGAATGAATTTTACACGCTTGCAAATGTAAAACTTATTCCAAATAGTGGCCACAGAAGGCTTGCCCTTGGAGTACTCTAGTCTTTTGGAGAACTTTAAAAAAAAAATTAAAGGAGTGAGGGATAAAAAATAGTCCTTTCTAGATGCAGGAAGCAAACATGGTCAGCTTGTAGAAATTAATAGAGAGGAAGAATTTTTAAATGCACAGCAGGCCTGCATACAAAACAGCTACCCATATAAACATTTCATTTGAAATACTAATAAGCTTTGGCATCCAGGAAAGCTGCTCAGCACTTTTCATACTTTAGATATAATTTGTATTGCTAATAGATAAAATCTCTGTAGAGCCATCCTTGGTTATGCAGTTTTAAAGAGTGACTAGAGATACCAAAAAATGATTTCCCAAAAGACTTGTAAAACCATTACTTAAATTTAGGGCTAAGTTCATAAAGAATTATGCTGTGTTAAGGTTTCTACGGAATTTAGTCATAAAAAGTTCAGACTGTACTAAAAACTAATTAATTCTGTGGTTTTGGTATTCATTTAAGCCTCCTTTCCCCTGTGCACGAATAGCTAACATTATGCCCTAAAGTGTGTGCATGCCAAAAAGGTGGAAAACGATATTCTGAGCTCAAAAGACTATAGCACAGTAGGTCCATTAAAAAAAGGGAACTTTCTCAAATAGCTGGAAAGATAATAGAGCTGCATGAAGGCAGCTTTAACTAGCATTCTGGTCAATTATAGGAATTTATGCATTTATTACTCTGGTTAAAATAAATACTTACTACATCAATATGGGCTGCATATGGAACACATGTAGCATCTAGAGTTGAAGTTATGCAAAAAAACCCAGCAACTTTTGCAACAAATACATGAAGTCTGTGGTGCCATGCAAGTATTTACCATGTAAACAATGTTAGTAGTTACATGGATTTTTCTGAGCTGTCACAATATTCAAGTTGATGGCATGAGATTCTTCAAAGAGCTTGTTCACAATAAGAAAAAAAAAAGCTGGCAAATGTTTACTTGAGAAAAAATGAAGAACTGAAGGCCGTAAAGACACCCAAAACAGCAGCTATTTTTCTAGTGTGTTGGGTCCATTTCTGCCACCAAAACCAAAGTCCTCAGGCAGAGGGAAAAGAGCCCTTCCCATTACCCATCCATTTGCTTGAAGCTGCCCACATTCTCCTACTCACATGTAACCCATGAATATTTCTGATGAATGAGGCACTAATTATGTAGCCTGCCTTGCAGAGCCACGAGAAAAACCTTTGAGTGACATGTAACATGTTTGTTGAATTGACCCTTGTCTTCATAGAAACAGTAACATTAAACAATAACAACAGCAACAAAAACCCAAGAGAGAAAAAAAAGCCACTGCTGCTCCCCTTCATTTTAAAGGACTGTGTTTGGAACTGTCTTTGGGAGAGAAAATAAGCTTTTTTTTGCCTTTTTTGTTGTTGTTGTTGTTTGAATTTATTTCATACCAGGAATG